TGGCTGACAAGAAGGCTCCGGGGAGTGAGCGCGCTGCCGAGAGGGCAGCCGCTGCCCAACAGAACAATGAAAGGGCCCGCCTTGCCCCACGGCCATCATACGTCAACATGCAGGTAATGATTAAACAACAACAAAAAAAAAGGGAGAGTCATCCAAATGTAGGCTGTCTAGATTGAGGGAATCGGGGAATTCAGTGAGCCTTCAGCAGTAGAGCAGAAATTCCGTTTTCCTTCTGCATGCTCAGTTCAGTTCAGTTTAGTCTCTCAGTTGTGTCCGACTCTTTGCGACCCCATGGACTGCAGCACGCCAGGCCTCCCTGTCCATCATCAGCTCCCAGAGTTGACTCAAACTCATGTCCATTGAGTCAGTGATGCCTATTCAAAATTATATTTAAATATATATGCAGTAGTTAGGAATTGGTTTTGCTATAAACATTAAAAATGAAATGCAGGGTTTAGTTTAAGTGAGGAGAATTATTTAAAATGTTAAAAGTGATCTAACATGGTCTATGTCACTGTGTCTTATGCAAATGACATTTTTCATGTGTTACTTAAATAATTTAGATAAATGTGTGAGCTGCTATTTCTGAGCATTTACTGCCTCATGACATAGTCTTAGATAAATAGATTTATAAATAAATAATATTTATATTATTATCCTTCTATCTGTAAAATGGAGAAGATGAATTTGTTTGGTGCTCCTTAGACAGTTATAAAAATAACGAATGTGAGGCTTTAGTTTTTTGAAAGGAGATGCTAAATATTATTGATGATTATGTTGGTTCACAGATTTTTATGATTATTTTAAACAATTTCCTCAGCAGGGATTTTCTCTGTATCCATTTTCAAACTATTGGTCCAATTACAAAATAAATAAATAAACTATTGATCATGGAATTCAGAAATCTGATTTTTATATTGATCACAATATGAAAGATAAGGATTCTGTGCTTTTAGAGATGTCTATAAACATTTGGCTTCAGTGTCTGAATTAATGGGTAGACTTACCTACTTCATAGTAAGATATATCATCTCCATCTCCCCACCTCCAAAAAAGAAAAAAAAACCTCACAGAATCCTAGAAATAAAGAAGTTGTCATAAATATGTCAAAGAAATTAATTCATGAAACTAAATTGTACTTCTGTAATTCTGGTGAAAACTACAGTGCAGTCCTGCTTGTCTGCTTATACTAATCCTTGGCATTTGAACATTTTCATGTTTTTAGATGAATGTTTTTACAAAAACCATGGCCTTTACAAGGTGCAAAGTTAAAAACATTTATTACATTTTCTCTGGTGGATATATTTTCAGTTATTATAAATTAAAGTTCTCTCATTTAAAAAGTATAAGATTCCTTTATGGTCCCTTTGTGAGTTTCGTCCATCTTGTGAGTCTCATCTTTTTCATCAAGTTTATACCTATAGTGAACCTTTTCATGTTCCTTTCTTTTAGGATGGATGAGAGTGTTCCTGGTGATAGAGTTTCAATTTAAATAGATGTTATTTATGCCATTAGTGAAGAGCTGACTTTTAAAATCACTAAGAAATCAATGATAAGAGTTACTGAGCTTTGACAGGGAGAGAGTTTGAAGACTTCTGTGATTTCTGGAGCTAAAGATGACCTTTGTCTCCTGTAAAGATGACCTTTGTCTCCTGACCATTCTTGGACTTCTGAATCTCCAGCTCTCTTTTCACATTTATCTTACTTTCTAATTTATTTTGTGGTTATTTCTTTTACTCATCCCTGCTAAGCCTCCATATGATTTGAGGCTATAGATTATTTTTGATTCATTGTTCTGTTCTTCCACAAAGTGTAGCACAGTACCTATAACCAGAAGGCACTCAATAAATATTTATTGAACAAGTAACTTTAGAATCTCCCCACATCTTGCCTTAGACATTAGTCATTAAAAGTTGATTTTAACTCCCAGAGTCATTTTAAACCTAGGATTTCAAAAGAAAAATCAAACCATGTTATCTAAAAATCTCACTCTCCCAGTTTACTGCCATGTTCCTTCTGGTTGGTCAGAGTCAACCAGTTTACTTTCATTATTTTGACCCTATCATTTGTAGTACTTTTTGCTTTTAAAAGTATCCTGTTTAAGACCATAAATTATATGGACACCCTGCGTATGATGGTATAGTCCTCCTGGGAGGAAGGGCCAGTGGGTTCTTGGCCCTTGTCAATGGGTTCTTGAACTATCTTTGAGACATTTTTTTCCCCTAACTTACTGAAGAATAGTTGATTTACAATATTGTGTTAGTTTCAGTTGTATAGCAAAGAAGATATACATATATATGTATATATCTCTGTTCCTTTTTTCAATTATTTTCCCTTATAGTTTTTTATTTATAAGGGACATTTTAAAATCAAGCCTAAGTTCCTGAAACACGGGAGTTGAGAACCCTGAGTCAGCATTTGCTGCTGCTGCTAAGTCGCTTCAGTCGTGTCCGACTCTGTGCGACCCCATAGACGGCAGCCCACCAGGCTCCCCCGTCCCTGGGATTCTCCAGGCAAGAACACCGGAGTGGGTTGCCATTTCCTTCTCCAAGAGTCAGCATTTGAGATGTAGTTATATCTGGACTTCTTTCTTCAAAACTTACCTCGGTTTGTATATAGACCCATCTGTGTCATAGTCACTTGTTCAGTGTGGATGAGAAGAATAAATGGTGCCATCCTAGTCTTGTGCAATATAAGATAAATAAGTTTCATTTTTTAACTTAGGTTTATATTTTTATTTAGGTTTAATTTTAATGTTCTGCTTGTGTCATTATTAAAGCTAGACATTTGTCATTTATGTCACTTTAAAAGCATAGATAATGCCAATTAAGTTATGTAATTTCATAGGTTGTTGTGACATCATAACATTTTACTCAAATGAAGAGGGGGTTTTGAGAAATACAGGAGGCCAATAATAGATAATCTGAAAGTATTTTAAGAATGCATTATTTTGAAATTTAGCATAACTCTTATTAAGTTATTCACTGTATGTTAGCATATATTGGTCCTGGTATGTTAAATATTCATAATAAAGAGGAATTTTTTTCCCTTTGAAGGAAGATTTCTAACTTTTGTCACTGTCATGACTTAAAGTCAGAAGTAGTATATTATTATAATGAATTAGTTTTGAAAACATGTTTAAGTTTATCAGGCTTGTGTGGGCTCCTGTCACATTATGGTGCAGAGCTTAGCATTTGTCTCGGGCAGGTGCATGGGCTGCAGTCATGTAATCTTTTCATGGAGTATTGGTGTGACATTTGGATCAACTGACAAGAAAGATGTTTTCTGTCTTTTTCAGGCATTTGACTATGAACAAAAGAAGCTGTTAGCAACCAAAGGTATGTGATACATTATTATCTGTACTTTGATTTTTTTCAGTAGACACATAAAAAGTTTTTCAGTACTGATATTGAACTGGGAAATTGGACTTTCGTAAAAGGAAACCCAGAATGTTTAGGTTCAAGTTGCATTAACTTTGTTGAGGTTGAATAGATTAGCATTAGATCATTTAAGAAATAATGTATCATTTTAAAATTTATTGTTACTTTGTGTAAAATGTTTTATGAAGACATTTTAAGGTATTTTGTGTTAAGAAATGATATTCAGTGGTAATTTCTTTACATACATCAACGAAAAAATACTCGTCAATGTTGTATTTAAGAAATACATTAAAAATAGCAAGCATTTGTTTTATGTTCTCTTTTCCAAAGCTATGTTAAAGAAACCAGTAGTGACGGAGGTCAGAACACCCACAAACACCTGGAGTGGCCTGGGGTTTTCTAAATCCATGCCCGCTGAAACGATCAAGGAGCTGAGAAGGGCCAACCACGTGTCATATAAGCCCACAATGACGACCACTTTTGAGGTTTGTAGAGTCATGCCCTACTTACTCTTCCTGTCGATTCTCTCAGCAAAAGAGAACCGTCTTCTCTCCTCTCCCATCTTCTATTTACATAAGGACAGTTTCTTAATGGTGATTTGCTTTAATTTCTAATACTGTAAACGTATTGCTATGAGATAGATACAATCTGATATGATCTTTTACATGTTGTTTTCATGATCATGAGATCTTTACATGATCTCAAAGTTGTTGATCAGCTGTGAAGGAAATTTGGATAAATGTGTTTTTGTTAGGGGAGAATGTCAGAGAGCAGGGCTGAGATTAAGCAAAGGGCATATGTAATATGCCATAAAAAATGTATAAGGAATCCCTTCATTCCAGGGTATCACTCACAAGACCACCAAGGGGGAAAAGGCAATTATTCAACAAAAACAAGTTCTCAGATCTGAGTTAAAAATTCAGTGTGTTCAGATGTGCCAGGAACACAGCAGGAAGTATCACAAACAAGAGCTCCAAAACATTATGCTTCCCAGATGTTGGCTGCAGGGCTTAGGGGTGAGATGGGGAAGCTGGCATCCTCACCACAGGGAGAAGGGATCCAGAGCTCCTTGCTTCTCTGCCGGGCTGTACGTGACTCAGTCAGCAAGGCCTTTGCAGCTGCAGAGTGTCAGATGTTGGCTCTAAGTCTTTTGCGAGTGCAGGTGGAGTTAGAATGCGTGCACGTGCACACACTCACACACAGAACTGCGGAGACTGCACAAACCTAAAAGATGGATGAAAATGATTAATCCAAGAGTCACAATGTTCCATAAGACCACTGGAGGCTCAAAAACAAATACTGGTTAAGTGTTTCGTAATTGTTAGTCTAATCACTAGCATTTGCAGATTGACCTTCATTTCTCCACCCATTTTCTTTGTAATAAATTAGAATGTTGATGAAAGGCAAATGCAAACCTGCGATTTTTTTTTCCCTTTGTCTCTTTGAGAAAGTGAAAAAGAAAGTACTATTGAAATACTAAAAAGCACAGTTTCCTGCAAATTTCATTGTCAGACTTACAGTAGCAATTTGGCAGGGTATATTTAAAGACTGAAGTTACTGTTGGCAACTAGAATGCAGGAATCATTATGAAAAATTTGAGGCTTTTTTGTTAGGGGAGAATGTCAGAGAGCAGGGCTGAGATTAAGCAAAGGGCATATGTAATATGCCATAAAAAATGTATAAGGAATCCCTTCATTCCAGGGTATCACTCACAAGACCACCAAGGGGGAAAAGGCAATTATTCAACAAAAACAAGTTCTCAGATCTGAGTTAAAAATTCAGTGTGTTCAGATGTGCCAGGAACACAGCAGGAAGTATCACAAACAAGAGCTCCAAAACATTATGCTTCCCAGATGTTGGCTGCAGGGCTTAGGGGTGAGATGGGGAAGCTGGCATCCTCACCACAGGGAGAAGGGATCCAGAGCTCCTTGCTTCTCTGCCGGGCTGTACGTGACTCAGTCAGCAAGGCCTTTGCAGCTGCAGAGTGTCAGATGTTGGCTCTAAGTCTTTTGCGAGTGCAGGTGGAGTTAGAATGCGTGCACGTGCACACACTCACACACAGAACTGCGGAGACTGCACAAACCTAAAAGATGGATGAAAATTATTAATCCAAGAGTCACAATGTTCAATAAGACCACTGGAGGCTCAAAAACAAATACTGGTTAAGTGTTTCGTAATTGTTAGTCTAATCACTAGCATTTGCAGATTGACCTTCATTTCTCCACCCATTTTCTTTGTAATAAATTAGAATGTTGATGAAAGGCAAATGCAAACCTGCGATTTTTTTTTCCCTTTGTCTCTTTGAGAAAGTGAAAAAGAAAGTACTATTGAAATACTAAAAAGCACAGTTTCCTGCAAATTTCATTGTCAGACTTACAGTAGCAATTTGGCAGGGTATATTTAAAGACTGAAGTTACTGTTGGCAACTAGAATGCAGGAATCATTATGAAAAATTTGAGGCCCTAGGAGTTATACACCCCTCTTTCTGCCATTATAGCTCTGAGAGAAAGTCAACATCTCCTTTCATTGGCAGAGGCCTTAAAAACTGCTGTGCTCATTCTTAGGCTTCCACTGGTGTACCTGCAGTCTGTTGTGCTCACCCCCACCTTCAGCGGAATGGAGCTTTAGGTGGTTGATTATGTTCCTGTCGTTTCAGAGATGAAATAGTTCACTTTAGAAATGCTAATTCAGTTCTGTTCTCAGAGACCAATACTATGACAGGTTGAAATGACGATTGTTCTAATAAAGCAGTTGTCAAATGCAGAGGCTGTGGGAACCTGACAGCCGCCACCGACACATGCACAGCTTTGCGGAGTGACTTCCCGCCTCAGAGCCCGTTTGCTCACTGCAGTTATTTTGAGCGTGCTGTGGGAGAAGGCACCCAGTGCTTCATGGGGTGTGCAGGAAGTCTTGGTAATATTTAGCAACTACTGTTATTTCCACTAAAGAACTTTACCCTGAGGAAAACCAAGAGCCTGATGAAAGATGTGATTCATATACATATATGAATGCTTATTACTAGAAGTATTTCTGCATTTTCAAACTAGATATGCTTTTTATATCTACAGGAATACTTTAGAGTGTTACATGAACACATAATGTGCTAGTAGTAATTACCTTAAATCACATTCATTTATTTCTTTGATGTTTTATATGGTACATTTTCATCCACGAGCTTTTTTGATCCCTATAAATTCCTAGTGAGGGAAAGGGTCCCAGATCAGTTAAGTGTCTTACTTGAGGTCATCAGTAGTTAGAAAAAAGGACTTGAATTCATTTTGTAAAATTTCTTTATCCTCGTTTTCCTAATGGTTTATGTACTCAGAGGGTACATAGCAAGTTAGTTAGTCACTCAGTCATGTCCGACTCTTTGCAACCCCATGGATTGCATCCCACAAGACTCCTCTGTCCATGGAATTTCCAGGCAAGAATACTGGAGTGGGTTGCCATTTCCTTCTCCAGGGGATCTTCCCGACCCAGGGATTGAACCTGGGTCTCCCACATTGCAGGCAAATTCTTTACCATACAAGGTGATATATAAATGCTCTAGAGCCATGTTAAAAGACATAAGAATCACTTGGTGCACTTAAAAATGCAGATTCTTCCCCCAGCATCTCACTCATCAGGGAAAGAGCCAGCAGGAACCAGTAATTTACATTTTCACCAAAAGCCTAGTCTGATTCTGATGCAGGCAGCCTCCTGGAAACACTGCTCTGCAGGGATGTACCATAAGGGGAATGACTCAGCAGTGGTGTCAGAACCTGGGGGGCCTCTGCTCTGGGTCTTGTCCAAGGATGAGTAGACCGCTCTCTATGGGCCTGAGTTTGCAGGCTCCAGACTCAGTGGCTGAATCCCTCCTGTGGCTTTTCTTGCTTTGGTTCTCTCGGGCCAGCCTGTTCCACCTTTCTGGCTAATGTCTAACAGCTCATTCACATTGAAAGGTGGGGAAGAGGATGAAACCAGCGAGATCAGTGCCAGAGCATTCACCAGGTAACCTGCTTTTATTCACAGCCCCTTTAAACAGTGGTGATAAGAGATAGAATCAGGCTTTCTTAGGGAATGGTTCTAGATTCTTGCCCTGTGGAGGACTTTCACACACCCCAAAGCCATCAAAAGGAGGTAAAAGGGCATGATCTGATATTCTGAAGCAGTTGCTCTTTGTGGATGTCTGCCCTCCTCTTTATTCTGCTAAAACTCAGAGGGATTGTAAACTGGGCAATTAATGGGTTAGAACATAGGGACAGGGTGGGAATTGAGAAGGACCTGGGGAAAAGTGGACAGGGCTTAAATTTTTTTTTTAAAGATTTACAACATCTCCACTTGTAGCACTATTTTAAAATCAGAGAGTAGTTACAGCCAGAATGGCCATCATCAGAAAATACACAAACAATAAATGCTGGAGAGAGTGTGGAGAGAAGGGAACACTCTTATACTGTTGATGGGAATATAAACTGGTATAGCCACAATGGAAGTTTCTTAAAAAATTAAAAATAGAGCTACCTTATGACCTGCAAGGAGATCAAACCAGTCAATCCTAAAGGAAATCAGTCTTGAATATTCATTGGAAGGACTGTTGCTGAAGCTGAAACTCCAGTACTTTGGCCACCTGATTCGAAGAACTGACTCACTGGAAAAGACCCTGGTGCTGGGAAAGATTGAGGGCAGGCGGAGAAAGGGATGACAGAGATGAGATGGTTGGATGGCATCACCGACTCGATGGACATGAGTTTAAGCAAGCTCTGGTAGTTGGATATGGACAGGGAAGCCTGGTGTGCTGTAGTCCATGGGGTCTTAAAGAGTCTGACACAACTGAGCGACTTATCTGAACTGGCTGATGACTCTGCAATCCCACTCCTGGGCATATATTCAGAGAAAAACATGATCAAAAAGGATATATGTACCCTAGTGTTCACTGCAGGTCTGTTTACAGTAGCCAAGACATGGAAGCAACCTAAATGTCCGTTGACAAAGGAATGGATAAAGAAGATGTGGTACATATATACAAAACAATGGACTATTACTCAGCCATCTAAAAGAATGAAATAATGCCATTTGCAGCAACATGAGTAGAACTAGAGATTGTTATACTGAGTGAAGTAAGTCAGAGAAGGAGAATTATCTTATGACATCCTTTATATGTGGAATCTAAAATGAAATGATACAAATGAACTTATTAAACAGAAACAGACTCACAGGCTATGAGAATGAGCTTTATGGTTGCCAGGGGGATGGATGGGGGAAGGCACAGTCAGGGAGTTTTGGATTGACATGTACATGCTACTGTATTTGAAATGGATAACCAACAAGGTCTGTATAGCACTTGGAACTCTGCTCAATGTTATGTGACAGCTTGGGTGGGAGGGGAGTTTGGGGGTGAATGGATACATGAAGTTGTATGGCTAAGTCCCTTCACCGTTCACCTAAAATTATCACAACATTGTTAATCGGCTATACACCAATACAAAATAAAAAGTTGAAAAAAATTAGGGGGTAGTTAGAAACACTCTTTTTCCTTATTCTTTTCCAAAGAAAACCAAAACCAAATGGACAAGTAGGATGCTCTGGAGAAGTACGTTTAGCCAATGGGTCCTGACTGGTGTGGGTTACTCGGTGTGTAGGGAATCAAGGCACATGGGTTTCCTGCTCTAGGAAGCTTGCTTTAGGCAAGAAACTGATGCTTTGAACACCCTGTTCACATTACTGAGAAACTAGACTTGAGAGACTGTTTCCAGTTTTAAGGCATTTTTGAGAAATTAGACTTTTCCAAAGAACTCCTTTGGATAAGAAGCAAGTAGCTTGAGGGCTATTTTTGTTTTCTTCAAGACTCAAAAGTATGACCCTATCCACTTAATGATATACTGGGACAGCAAAGATCAAACAAAAGGTTGCTTTGACCTGCAGTATTTCTGTCACATCAACGGAACTAAAAAGTTTTGGATTTTCCTTTTGTTTTTGCCACTTATCTCTTAAAGGTATTAGAAATGGTTGTGTATTCTCTGGAGCAGGTAAAACCTGTATCAGAAGTTAAAAGAAGGTTTTAAATTTCCTCCTAAGAGTAATGAGGTTGTCTGATTATTTTAAGTCTTACAAATCTAAATAATTTTGTGATATTTACCAGTTTTTTGTCTTCTAACACATTACAATAAACTGGTAAATATCACCAGATTATTTTTTATTTAATGTTTTTAGAAAACATCATGTTTAGCCAGATCTGAGATAACTGTGTGAATGAAATCAGCTTAGATCTTAGATGAGTGACTTTTTAATACTCAAAAAAAGTTTAGATACAGAAGTTTTAAAATATATAGAAATACTACATAATGGTCTCTTTCCTGGTAATTAACCAGTTTTGAGCATGTTCTTATTTCTCTTGCTGCATGGAATTTATCTGGTTGAATTATGTTAATGATGGTTTTAACTGAAAAACCCATTTTTTTTGCTGGGAGGAGCCTTCCTTTCCCTAGGCCCCTTCCCAAAAGTCAGCAAAGGGGATCCCATAGATGTAGGAAAAGGTGACTGTGAGATCTAGTATTTCGCAATTATTTATCAATAAGCATGTCCTGTGTTTTAGATGTAGTTCCGGGCATTAGATACAATGCTTGAATACAGATTCTTGCTTTCATGGATAGAGCTTTTTTTTTGGTGGGTAGAGAGAAATATATAACAAGTTAATCAGAAGGCATTAAGTAATAAAAGTCTCTGATAAATATGAAACAGAGGATATTTTATATTGGGTAGTTTTATCTGGCTTTAATGAGCAAATGACATTTAAGCTAAGACCTACATGGCAAGAAAGGGCCAACCTTGTGACTGACTAGGGAAATAGTACTAGGCCAGGGAAACAACTGGCATTATCATATTGGAGTCAGAGCAAACTGGTAAATTCATGGAGCAGAAGGTGCATAGGGTGGTGGAGCATTGAAGATAAGGTTGGAGAGACAGGCAAAGACTTGTTTGTGGAGCATTTCAGCCCATGGTAAAGTACTGGCAAGGGATTGTAGGATTGTGTGCTGAGTGGGGCGTGGTTTTGTTCTAATTTGCATTTAAAAAAACAACCTACAACCTAGTTGCTTCATGGAAAAT